TTAATTAGCGGTAATTATTTAATGATGACCCATTAATACCTAGTAAGGCAATTCCGTTAATGGAATCGTGAAGTTTAAAATGTTAAATATCATGATGCCTGTATATATCTGTGTGTGTACACTGTGTCTGTGTGTGTCTGTGTGTGTGTACCTGTGTGTGTGTGTACACTGTGTGTGTGTGCACTGTGTGTGTACCTGTGTGTACCTGTGTGTACCTGTGTGCGTGTGTACCTGTGTGTGTGTGTGTACACTGTGTGTGTGTACACTGTGTGTGTACCTGTGTGTGTGTGTATGTATATACACTGTGTGTGTACCTGTGTGTGTACACTGTGTGTGTACCTGTGTGTGTGTGTGTACACTGTGTGTGTGTACCTGTGTGTGTGTGTGTACACTGTGTGTGTGTACACTGTGTGTGTACCTGTGTGTGTGTGTGTACACTGTGTGTGTGTACACACTGTGTGTATGTGTACCTGTGTGTGCGTGTGTACCTGTGTGAGTGTACACTGTGTGTGTGTGTGTACACTGTGTGTGTACCTGTGTATGTACCTGTGTGTGTGTGTACACTGTGTGTGTGTGTACACTGTGTGTGTACCTGTGTGTGTGTGTATACACTGTGTGTGTGTATACACTGTGTGTGTGTACACACTGTGTGTATGTGTACACACTGTGTGTATGTGTACCTGTGTGTGTGTACCTGTGTGAGTGTACACTGTGTGTGTGTGTGTGTACACTGTGTGTGTACCTGTGTATGTACCTGTGTGTGTGTGTGTACACTGTGTGTGTACCTGTGTGTGTACCTGTGTGTGTACACTGTGTGTGTACCTGTGTGTGTGTGTACACTGTGTGTATACCTATGTGTATGTACACTGTGTGTCTGTGTGTACCTGTGTCTGTGTGTACACTGTGTGTGTGTACCTGTGTGTGTACCTGTGTGTGTACCTGTGTGTGTACACTGTGTGTGTACCTGTGTGTGTGTACACTGTGTGTATACCTATGTGTATGTACACTGTGTGTCTGTGTGTACCTGTGTCTGTGTGTACACTGTGTGTGTACCTGTGTGTGTACCTGTGTGTGTGTACACTGTGTGTGTACCTGTGTGTGTGTACACTGTGTGTATACCTATGTGTATGTACACTGTGTGTCTGTGTGTACCTGTGTCTGTGTGTACACTGTGTGTGTACCTGTGTGTGTACACTGTGTGTGTACCTGTGTGTGTGTACACTGTGTGTATACCTATGTGTATGTACACTGTGTGTCTGTGTGTACCTGTGTCTGTGTGTACACTGTGTGTGTGTACCTGTGTGTACCTGTGTGTGTGTGTACACTGTGTGTGTACCTGTGTGTGTGTGTACACTGTGTGTATACCTATGTGTATGTACACTGTGTGTCTGTGTGTACCTGTGTCTGTGTGTACACTGTGTGTGTGTACCTGTGTGTGTACCTGTGTGTGTACACTGTGTGTGTACCTGTGTGTGTGTACACTGTGTGTATACCTATGTGTATGTACACTGTGTGTCTGTGTGTACACTGTGTGTGTGTACCTGTGTGTGTACCTGTGTGTGTGTACACTGTGTGTGTACCTGTGTGTGTGTGTACACTGTGTGTATACCTATGTGTATGTACACTGTGTGTCTGTGTGTACCTGTGTTTGTGTGTACACTGTGTGTGTGTCTGTGTGTGTGTACCTGTGTGTGTGTCTGTACATAAAATGTCACTGTGTACATTCTAAAATTGTGTGCAAGGTAATTTAACGATGCTGTATAATGCTTAAGCGTCAAGTGTGTACTGTACGTACTGTATGTACTGTACTGTGCACCGTGTGTGGTAGTGTACTGCACATTTGTGCAATGTGAACTGTACACGGGAGCACTGTACACGATGTACTGTACACGGTGTACTGTACACCGGTGTACTGTACACACGCGTACAGTACACCGGAGCGTGTTGTGCACGGTGAACTGTACAAAGTGTACTGCGCTGTGTACTGTACAAAACGTACTGTACACCGCACGCACTGTACACCGATGTACTGTACGCGGGTGCACTGCACACGATGTACTGTACATTGTACACAGTACACGTGTACTGTACGTTATGTACAGTACACGTGTACTGTACGTTGCGTACTGTGCTGGAGCAGGGGCTCGCGCGCGGTGGCTATGCTAATGAGGTAAATTATGTTAATTTATGCGGGGGCGTGGCTGGCAGCTGATTAGTATTAATTAGCCCCGCCCGCCGCCTTTGTGACGTCACGCGCGTCGGTTAAACCACGTGGTGTGGAAGGATTTTTTAATATGTGGTGAATGTTTTTTTAAAATAATTATTTAATTCTAATAAATTCGCGTTGCCATGGTGATTGCCTTAATTACTTTTCATTGAGTTTGTGTGGGGAGTGGTGGTGCAGTGGTTAGCACACTGTGTGTGTGTGTGGGGAGTGGTGGTGCAGTGGTTAGCGCACTGTGTGTGTGAGTGGGGAGCGGTGGTGCAGTGGTTAGCGCACTTTGTGTGTGTAGGGAGTGGTGGTGCAGTGGTTAGCGCACTGTGTGTGAGGAGCGGTGATGCAGTGGTTAGCGCACTTTGTGTGTGTAGGGAGTGGTGGTGCAGTGGTTAGCGCACTGTGTGTGAGGAGCGGTGGTGCAGTGGTTAGCGCACTGTGAGTGGGGAGTGGTGGTGCAGTGGTTAGCGCACTGTGTGTGAGTGGGGAGTGGTGGTGCAGTGGTTAGCGCACTGTGTGTGTGTGTGTGGGGAGTGGTGGTGCAGTGGTTAGCGCACTGTGCGTGTGTGGGGAGTGGTGGTGCAGTGGTTAGCGCACTGTGTGTGAGGAGCGGTGGTGCACTGGTTAGCGCACTGTGTGTGTGTGAGTGGGGAGTGGTGGTGCAGTGGTTAGCGCACTGTGTGTGAGGAGCGGTGGTGCACTGGTTAGCGCACTGTGTGTGTGAGTGGGGAGTGGTGGTGCAGTGGTTAGCGCACTGTGTGTGTGTGTGGGGAGCGGTGGTGCAGTGGTTAGCGCACTGTGTGTGTGGGGAGCGGTGGTGCAGTGGTTAGCGCACTGTGTGTGTGAGTGGGGAGTGGTGGTGCAGTGGTTAGCGCACTGTGTGTGTGTGTGGGGAGCGGTGGTGCAGTGGTTAGCGCACTGTGTGTGTGGGGAGCGGTGGTGCAGTGGTTAGCGCACTGTGTGTGTGAGTGGGGAGTGGTGGTGCAGTGGTTAGCGCACTGTGTGTGTGTGGGGAGTGGTGGTGCAGTGGTTAGCGCACTGTGTGTGTGTGTGGGGAGCGGTGGTGCAGTGGTTAGCGCACTGTGTGTGAGTGGGGGGAGTGGTGGTGCAGTGGTTAGCGCACTGTGTGTGTGTGTGAGTGGGGAGTGGTGGTTCAGTGGTTAGCGCACTGTGTGTGTGGGGAGTGGTGGTGCAGTGGTTAGCGCACTGTGTGAGTAGGGAGTGGTGGTGCAGTGGTTAGCGCACTGTGTGTGTGTGTGGAGTGGTGGTGCAGTGGTTAGCGCACTGTGTGTGTGGTGAGTGGTGGTACAGTGGTTAGCGCACTGTGTCTGTGTGTGAGTGGGGAGTGGTGGTGCAGTGGTTAGCGCACTGTGTGTGTGAGTGGGGAGTGGTGGTGCAGTGGTTAGCGCACTGTGTGTGTGTGTGCGGGGAGCGGTGGTGCAGTGGTTAGCGCACTGTGTGTGTGTGTGTGGGGAGTGGTGGTGCAGTGGTTAGCGCACTGTGTGTGTGGGGAGTGGTGGTGCAGTGGTTAGCGCACTGTGTGTGAGGAGCGGTGGTGCAGTGGTTAGCGCACTGTGTGTGAGTGGGGAGTGGTGGTGCAGTGGTTAGCGCACTGTGTGTGTGTGGGGAGCGGTGGTGCAGTGGTTAGCGCACTGTGTGTGTGAGTGGGGAGTGGTGGTGCAGTGGTTAGCGCACTGTGTGTGTGGGGAGTGGTGGTGCAGTGGTTAGCGCACTGTGTGTGTGGGGAGCGGTGGTGCAGTGGTTAGCGCACTGTGTGTGTGTGGGGAGCGGTGGTGCAGTGGTTAGCGCACTGTGTGTGTGGGGAGCGGTGGTGCAGTGGTTAGCGCACTGTGTGTGTCTGAGTGGGGAGTGGTGGTGCAGTGGTTAGCGCACTGTGTGTGTGTGGGGGGAGTGGTGGTGCAGTGGTTAGCGCACTGTGTGTGTGTGGGGAGCGGTGGGGCAGTTGTTAGCGTACTGTGTGTGGTGTGTAGTACATAGACACTGCTGCTGCTACTCGCTCGCTAACAGCACTTGCCCCTACAGCCCTGCTAGAGGCTACCTGGGGAAGCTTTGTCTGTGTGTGTGGTGTGTGTAGTACATAGACACTGCTGCTGCTACTCGCTCGCTAACAGCACTTGCCCCTACAGCCCTGCCAGAGGCTACCTGGGGGTGCTTTGTCTGCGTGCTGTTAAGAAGCACGTTATGACGTCACCGCGTATCATTTTCTGCACGGGACCTGAATGTGCGCGATGACGTCAACGTAATGTGCAACGTTGTCTGACGTCATAGCACCGGTCACGCGCAACCCACCACAGCCTTCCCCCCACCCCCCGACGCTGCGTGATGACGCCGCTCGGATAGCCCCACCCACACTGGCGACGTCGTGACGTCATCTCCCAATGATTAATATCGGACGTGATGACGTCCCACCAACCGAATAGATTACGTGTCTCGTCACCGCTTCAAGTCACGCCCTCTCATTCCCCGTCCTGCGTGATGACGTCGCGTCGTTAGCCCCACTTATCTTTACCACGTCGTGACGTCACGACCATGGATTATTATAGGACTCCCGGCGTACGTGATGACGTCCCACCAACCGAATAGATTACGTTACTCGTCACCGCTGCGGTCACTCCCTCTCATTCCTCTTCCTGCGTGATGACGTTGCGCCAGTAGCCCCACCTCCCCCCACAGCGGCGTCGTGACGTCACGCCCATATATTACTGGGCCTCCATGGCGTGCGTGATGACGTCGCAACCAACTGCATAAATTACGTGTCGCGTCACCGCGCACCACCTCCATCACCACCATCATCAGGGCTTCCTGTTGTTGTTGGCTGCAGGTCGAGGCTGTTGTGTGTCTTTCTCTCTCTCTTTCCTCGCCGCCACGGCCATGAATCTGTCTCCCTCCGCGGGCTCGAACGCCAACGGCCTCCTCTACGTCGGCTTCAACCAAGACCACGGTTAGCGCGCGGTTTTGGTTGCAAAAACAACAAATAATACCGATGAGGCCTAGTCACCAACCCGGGCCTCCGCGATGCCTTACGCTTTTCCTAGCCGGCCTGCCCCGTTGGAGGTGGCCTCGGGCGGCGGGGTGAGGTGGCAAGGGGGGGGGGGTGTGGGGGTTCGGCCACAATTGTTAAACGGGTTTTTCTGTAGGATTTGAGTGTTGGGCTATTGGGAGTTGTGGTTGTTAGGGTTGTTGTTGTGTGTGGGTGTCTATGTGTGGTGACGCTATGGGTCTCTGTGTGTCTGTGGTGAGTCTGTGAGTCTCTGTGTGTGTGGTGAGTCTGTGAGTCTCTGTGTGTGTGTGTGTGGTGAGTCTATGAGTCTCTGTGTGGTGAGTCTATGAGTCTCTGTGTGTGGTGAGTCTATGAGTCTCTGTGTGTGTGTGTGGTGAGTCTATGGGTCTGTGTGTGGTGAGTCTATGGGCCTCTGTGTGTGTGGTGAGTCTATGGGTCTCTGTGTGTCTGTGGTGAGTCTATGAGTCTCTGTGTGTGGTGAGTCTGTGAGTCTCTGTGTGTGTGTGTGGTGAGTCTATGAGTCTCTATGTGGTGAGTCTATGAGTCTCTGTGTGTGGTGAGTCTATGAGTCTCTGTGTGTGTGTGGTGAGTCTATGGGTCTGTGTGTGGTGAGTCTATGGGTCTCTGTGTGTGTGTGTGGTGAGTCTATGGGTCTCTGTGTGTGTGGTGAGTCTATGGGTCTCTGTATGTGTGTGGTGAGTCTATGGGTCTCTGTATGTGTGTGGTGAGTCTATGGGTCTCTGTATGTGTGTGGTGAGTCTATGGGTCTCTGTATGTGTGTGGTGAGTCTGAGCCTCTGTGTGTGTGTGGTGAGTCTATGAGGCTCTGTATGTGCGTGGTGAGTCTATGGGTCTCTGTATGTGTGTGGTGAGTGTATGAGTCGCTGTGTGTGTGGTGAGTCTATGAGTCTCTGTGTGTGGTGAGTCTATGGGTCTCTGTGTGTGGTGAGTCTATGGGTCTCTGTGTGTGTGTGTGGTGAGTCTGTGTCTGGTGAGTCTATGGGTGTCTGTGTCTGGTGAGTCTGTGGGTCTCTGTGTGTGTGTGGTGAGTCTATGAGTCTCTGTGTGTGTGTGGTGAGTCTATGGGTCTCTGTATGTGTGTGGTGAGTCTATGGGTCTCTGTGTGTGTGTGGTGAGTCTGAGTCTCTGTGTGTGTGATGAGTCTGTGTGTGTGTGTGGTGAGTCTGTGTCTGGTGAGTCTATGGGTGTCTGTGTCTGGTGAGTCTGTGGGTCTCTGTGTGTGTGTGGTGAGTCTATGGGTCTCTGTATGTGTGTGGTGAGTCTATGGGTCTCTGTGTGTGTGTGGTGAGTCTGAGTCTCTGTGTGTGTGATGAGTCTGTGTGTGTGTGGTGAGTCTGTGTCTGGTGAGTCTATGGGTGTCTGTGTCTGGTGAGTCTATGGGTCTCTGTATGTGTGTGGTGAGTCTGTGGGTTTCTGTGTGGTGTGCGGTGAGTATATGGTGGAGATGGTGATGGTGGTGGTGGTGATGGTGGTGGTGGTGATGGTGGTGGTGATGGTGGCGGTGGTGGCGGTGGTGGCGGTGGTGATGGTGGCGGTGGTGGTGGTGGTGGTGATGGTGGTGGTGATGGTGGTGGTGGTGATGGTGGTGATGGTGATGATGGTGGTGGTGATGGTGGTGATGGTGGTGGTGGTGATGGTGGTGGTGGTGGTGCTGGTGGTGGTGCTGGTGGTGATGGTGATGGTGGTGATGGTGGTGATGGTGGTGGTGGTGATGGTGATGGTGGTGGTGGTGGTGATGGTGGTGATGGTGATGGTGGTGGTGATGGTGGTGGTGCTGGTGGTGGTGATGGTGGTGATGGTGGTGGTGGTGATGGTGGTGATGGTGGTGGCGGTGGTGGCGATGGTGGCGATGGTGGCGGTGATGGTGGTGGTGGTGATGGTGGTGGTGATGGTGGTGATGGTGATGGCGGTGGTGATGGTGGTGATGGTGGTGGTGATGGTGGTGGTGGTGATGATGGTGGTGGTGGTGGTGATGGTGGTGATGGTGGTGGTGGTGATGGTGGTGGTGATGGTGGTGGTGGTGATGGTGGTGATGGTGGTGGTGGTGATGGTGGTGGTGATGGTGGTTAGCGCACTGTGTGAGTAGGGAGTGGTGGTGCAGTGGTTAGCGGGTCTCTGTATGTGTGTGGTGAGTCTATGGGTCTCTGTGTGTGTGTGGTGAGTCTGTGTCTGGTGAGTCTATGGGTGTCTGTGTCTGGTGAGTCTGTGGGTCTCTGTGTGTGTGTGTGGTGAGTCTATGGGTCTCTGTGTGTGTGTGGTGAGTCTATGAGTCTCTGTGTGTGTGTGGTGAGTCTATGGGTCTCTGTATGTCTGTGGTGAGTCTATGAGTCTCTGTGTGTGGTGAGTCTGTGTCTGGTGAGTCTATGGGTGTCTGTGTCTGGTGTTTCTATGAGTCTCTGTGTATGTGTGTGTGTGGTGAGTCTATGAGTCTCTGTGTGTGTGTGGTGAGTCTGTGTGTGGTGAGTCTATGAGTCTCTGTGTGTGTGTGGTGAGTCTGTGTGTGGTGAGTCTATGGGTCTCTGTGTGTGTGTGTGGTGAGTCTGTGTGTGGTGAGTCTATGCGTCTCTGTATGTGTGTGGTGAGTCTGAGTCTCTGTGTGTGTGTGGTGAGTCTATGGGTCTCTGTATGTGTGTGGTGAGTCTATGAGTCTCTGTGTGTGGTGAGTCTGTGTCTGGTGAGTTTATGGGTCTCTGTGTGGTGAGTGGTTGAGTCTATGGGCCTCTCTGTGGTGAGTCTATGGGTCTCTCTGTGTGTGTGTGGTGAGTCTATGGGTCTCTGTGGTGAGTCTATGGGTCTCTGTGTGTGTGTGTGGTGAGTCTATGGGTCTCTGTGGTGAGTCTATGGGTCTGTGTGTGTGTGTGTGGTGAGTCTATGGGTCTCTGTGGTGAGTCTATGGGCTCTCTGTGTGTGTGTGGTGAGTCTATGGGTCTCTGTGGTGAGTCTATGGGTCTCTCTGTGTCTATGAGTCTCTGATGTTGATGATAATGATGCTGATAATGATAATGCTGCTGATGATGCTGATGATGATGCTGATGCTACTTGTGATGATGCTGCTGCTGATAATGTTAATGCGACTGATGCTGATGATGCTACTGATGATGATGATGCTACTGATGATGATGCTACTTATGATGATGCTACTGATAATGATGATGCTACTGATGATGATGCTACTGATAATGATGATGCTACTGATAATGATACTGATGATGATGCTGGTGATGCTGATGCTGGTGATGCTGATGCTGCTGATGATGATGATGCTGCTGATGATGCTACTGATGATGATGCTCCTGATGATGATAATGCTCCTGATGATGATTCTGATGATGATGATGCTCCTGATGATGATGATGCTCCTGATGATGATGATGCTCCTGATGATGATTCTGATGATGATGATGCTCCTGATGATGATGATGCTCCTGATGATGATGATGCTCCTGATGATGATTCTGATGATGATGATGCACCTGATGATGATGTTTGCAGGTTGCTTTGCCTGTGGAACGGAGAATGGATTCCGCGTTTACAACACAGACCCTCTCAAAGAGAAGGAGAAACAAGGTGCTGATCATCATCAGCATCATCATCAGCATCAGCAGCAGCATCATCAGCAGCATCATCAGTAGCATCATCAGCAGCAGCATCATCAGTAGCATCAGCAGCATCAGCAGCAGCATCATCATCAGCAGCAGCAGCATCATCATCATCAGTCGCATCATCATCAGCAGCAGCATCAGCAATAGCATCAGTAGCAGCATCATCATCAGTAGCATCATCAGTAGCATCATCATCAGCAGTAGCATCAGCAGCAGCAGCATCAACAGTAAGCATCATCAGCAGTAGCATCAGCAATAGCATCATCATCAGTAGTAGCATCATCAGCAGCATCATCATCAGTAGCAGAATCATCATCAGTAGCATCATCATCATCAGTAGCATCATCATCCGTATCATCATCAGTAGCAGCATCATCATCAGTAGCATCATCATCATCAGTAGCATCATCATCATAAGTAGCATCATCATCAGTAGTATCATCATCAGCAGTAGCATCAGCAGCATCATCATCAGCAGCAACATCATCAGCAGTAAGCATCATCATCAGCAGTAGCATCAGCAATAGCATCATCAGCAGTAGCATCATCAGCAGCAGCATCATCATCAGCAGCATCATCAGCAGCAGCATCATCAGTATCATCATCAGTAGCAGCATCATCATCAGCATCATCATCATCAGTAGCATCATCAGTAGCATTATCATAAGCAGTAGCATCTTCAGCAGTAGCATCAGCAGCAGCATCATCATCATCAGCATCATCATCAGCAGTAGCATCATCATCAGCAGTAGCATCATCAGCAGCATCATCAGCAGTAGCATCATCAGCAGAATCATCAGCAGCATCATCAGCAGTAGCATCATCAGTAGCATCATCATCAGCAGTAGCATCATCAGCAGCATCATCATCAGCAGAATCATCAGCAGTAGCATCATCATCAGTAGCATCATCAACAGCATCAGCAGCAGCATCATCATCAGTAGCAGCATCTGTGTGTCTCTGTCTCTGTGTCTCTGTCTGTGGCTATCTGCCTCTGTCTGTGTCTCTGTGTCTCTCTGTCTGTGTCTCTCTAACTCTCTGTGTGTCTCTGTCTGTGTCTCTCTGTCTGTGTGTCTGTCTCTCTGTCTGTCTCTCTGACTCTCTGTCTGTGTCTGTGTTTCTCTCTCTCTGTCTGTGTCTCTATTTCTCTGATTCTGTGTCTCTGTGTGTGTCTCTCTCTCTCTGTCTCTGTCTGTCTCTCTGTGTGTCTCTGTCTCTCTGTCTGTGGCTCTCTGTCTCTGTCTGTGTCTCTGTCTCTCGGATTCTGTGTCTCTGTGTGTGTCTCTCTCTCTCTGTTTCTTTGTGTCTCTCTGTGTGTCTCTGTCTCTCTGTCTCTCTGTCTGTGTCTCTGTCTGTCTCTCTGTCTGTGGCTCTCTGTCTGTGGCTCTCTGTCTGTGTCTCTCTGATTCTGTGTCTCTCTGTCTGTGTCTGTCTGTGTCTCTGTCTCTCTGTCTGTGTCTCTCTGACTCTCTGTGTCTCTCTGTGTCTCTGTCTCTCTGTCTGTGTCTCTCTGACTCTCTGTGTCTCTCTGTCTGTGTCTCTCTGTCTGTGTCTGTGTCTCTCTAACTCTGTGTCTCTCTGCCTGTCTCTCTGTGTCTGTGTCTCTCTAACTCTCTGTGTCTCTCTGTCTGTGTCTCTCTGACTCTGTGTCTCTGTGTGATTCTCTGTCTCTCTATCTCTCTGTCTGTGTCTATGTCTGTCTCTCTGTGTCTCTGTCTGTGTCTCTCTGACTCTGTGTCTCTCTCTGTCTCTCTGTGTCTCTGTCTGTGTCTCTCTGACTCTGTGTCTCTGTCTGTGTCTCTCTAACTCTCTCTGTCTCCCTGTCTGTGTCTCTGTCTGTCTCTCTGTGTCTCTGTCTGTGTCTCTCTGACTCTGTGTCTCTGTCTGTGTCTCTCTAACTCTCTGTGTCTCTCTGACTCTCTGTGTCTCTGTCTGTGTCTCTCTGACTCTGTGTATCTGTGTCTCTCTAACTCTCTGTGTCTCTCTGACTCTCTGTGTCTCTGTCTGTCTCTCTGTGTCTCTGTCTGTGTCTCTCTGTCTGTGTCTCTGTGTCTCTGTCTGTGTCTCTCTGACTCTGTGTCTCTGTGTCTGTGTCTCTGTCTGTGTCTCTCTGTGTCTCTGTCTGTGTCTGTCTGGCTCTCTGTATCTCTGTCTGTGTCTCTGTCTGTGTCTCTCTGGCTCTCTGTGTCTCTGTCTGTGTCTCTCTGACTCTGTGTCTGTGTTTCTCTCTCTCTCTGTGTCTCTGTCTGTGTCTGTCTGTGCCTCTCTGTCTGTCTCTCTGACTCTGTGTCTCTGTCTGTGTCTCTCTGTGTCTGTGTCTCTCTGTGTCTCTGTCTGTGTCTCTGTCTCTCTGTCCGTGTCTCTGTCTGTCTCTATGTCTCTCTGTCTGTGTCTGTGTCTCTGTCTGTGTGTCTCTCTGGCTCTCTGTGTCTCTGTCTGTGTCTGTCTCTCTGACTCTGTGTCTGTGTTTCTCTCTCTCTCTCTGTGTCTCTGTCTGTGTCTCTCTGACTCTGTCTCTGTGTCTCTGTCTCTGTCTGTGTCTCTCTGACTCTGTCTCTGTGTCTCTGTCTCTGTCTGTGTCTCTCTGTGTCTCTGTGTCTCTGTCTGTGTCTGTGTCCCTCTGTCTGTCTCTCTGACTCTCTGTCTCTCTCTGTCTGTGTCTCTCTGTGTCTCTGTCTCTCTGACTCTGTGTCTGTCTCTCTGTGTCTCTGTCTCTCTGTGTGTCTGTCTCTCTGTGTCTCTCTGTCTTTCTGACTCTGTGTCTCTGTGTGTTTCTCTGTCTCTGTCTCTCTGTCTGTGTCTCTGTCTCTCTCTCTCTCTGTGCGTCTCTGTCTCTCTGAGTCTCAGAGTTCCCCCAGGAGAGTTGTGACGGGGGCGGTGTGGTGCATGTGGAGATGCTCTTCCGCTGTAACTATTTGGCCCTAGTCGGAGGAGGTCCCAGACCGAAGTTCCCTCCCAACAAAGGTGATGGTGGTGATGGTGGTGGTGATGGTGGTGGTGATGGTGGTGGTGGTGATGGTGGTGGTGATGGTGGTGATGGTGGTGGTGATGGTGGTGATGGTGGTGATGGTGGTGGTGATGGTGGTGATGGTGGTGATGGTGGTGGTGGTGATGGTGGTGGTGGTGGTGATGATGGTGGTGATGATGGTGGTGGTGATGGTGGTGGTGGTGATGGTGGTGATGGTGGTGATGGTGGTGATGGTGGTGGTGGTGATGATGGTGGTGGTGATGGTGGTGGTGGTGGTGGTGATGGTGGTGATGGTGGTGGTGATGGTGGTGATGGTGGTGATGGTGGTGGTGATGGTGATGGCGGTGGCGATGGTGATGATGGTGGTGGTGATGATGGTGGTGGTGATGGTGGTGGTGGTGGTGATGGTGGTGATGGTGGTGGTGGTGGTGATGGTGGTGATGGTGGTGGTGATGGTGGTGATGGTGGTGGTGATGGTGGTGATGGTGGTGATGGTGGTGGTGATGGTGGTGATGGTGGTGATGGTGGTGGTGGTGGTGATGGTGATGGTGGTGGTGATGGTGGTGGTGGTGATGGTGGTGGTGGTGGTGGTGATGGTGGTGATGGTGGTGGTGGTGGTGATAGTGATGATGGTGGTGGTGGTGATGGTGGTGGTGATGGTGATGATGATGGTGGTGGTGATGGTGGTGATGGTGATGGTGGTGGTGATGGTGGTGGTGGTGATGGTGGTGATGGTGGTGGTGGTGATGATGGTGGTGGTGGTGATGGTGGTGGTGATGGTGGTGGTGGTGATGGTGGTGGTGGTGATGGTGGTGGTGGTGATGGTGGTGGTGGTGATGGTGGTGGTGGTGGTGATGGTGGTAGTGGTGGTGATGGTGGTGGTGGTGGTGATGGTGGTGATGGTGGTGGTGATGATGGTGGTGGTGGTGGTGGTGGTGATGGTGGTGATGGTGGTGGTGGTGGTGATGGTGGTGATGGTGGTGGTGATGATGGTGGTGGTGATAGTGATGGTGGTGGTGATGGTGGTGATGGTGGTGGTGATGGTGGTGATGGTGGTGGTGATGATGGTGGTGATGGTGGTGATGGTGGTGGTGATGGTGGTGTTGGTGATGGTGGTGGTGATGGTGGTGGTGGTGATGGTGGTGATGGTGGTGATGGTGGTGGTGGTGATGGTGATGGTGGTGATGCTGGTGGTGATGTTGATGGTGGTGGTGATGGTGGTGATGGTGATGGTGGTGATGGTGGTGATGGTGGTGATGGTGGTGGTGATGGTGATGATGATGGTGGTGATGGTGGTGGTGGTGGTGATGGTGGTGATGGTGGTGGTGATGGTGGTGATGGTGGTGGTGATGATGATGGTGGTGATGGTGGTGGTGATGGTGGTGGTGATGGTGGTGATGGTGGTGGTGATGGTGGTGATGGTGGTGGTGGTGATGGTGGTGATGGTGGTGGTGATGGTGGTGGTGGTGGTGATGATGGTGGTGGTGGTGGTGATGGTGGTGGTGATGGTGGTGGTGATGGTGGTGGTGGTGATGAGTTGTGATGGTGGTGGTGATGATGGTGGTGGTGATGATGGTGGTGGTGATGATGGTGGTGGTGATGGTGGTGGTGATGGTGGTGATGGTGGTGGTGGTGATGGTGGTGGTGATGGTGGTGGTGGTGGTGATGGTGGTGGTGGTGGTGATGGTGGTGGTGATGGTGGTGGTGATGGTGGTGGTGGTGATGAGTGGTGGTGGTGGTGATGGTGGTGATGGTGGTGGTGGTGATGATGGTGGTGGTGATGATGGTGGTGGTGGTGGTGATGGTGGTGGTGATGGTGATGGTGGTG